TTTTCTGAATGAAAACTCCCTAATTACAGCTGAGAAGTAAAACTCATGTGAATACTACTCTACAGCTTTGTTTGTGTTATTACAGATTTTTAGACATCCAAATACTTAAACCAGCTCCACAGAAGACCATTGCTTAATTGTTTCATCATGATGTGTTTATTCATATTTAATGTAGAAGCATTTTCTCCTGCAAAAACATGGTCATTAGTGGGCTTCACAAAGAAATAAATACCCAGATTTGTTGTGAGAGTGTTTAAATCTCTCAAAGAGAATCTAAAATCGTGTTATCAGTATTGACTTCAGGCATGTTTGCAGTTAGCAAAGCACAACGGCACATAAGCCGATGAGCTATTGTTGTGCTTTTTTTGTTTAGAACAAAGTTTTATAAAATAACCTTCAGAACATAAGTAACAACTCTGTTTTCAAACCTAAACACATTAAATATGCTTCCTTTGATCAACCTAATATTTCTGGTTTTGCTTACAGTGAAATCTTTCCCTGCAGAGAAATGTGAAAACAGTACAAAACATAAGCAGCAGCAAAACAGTACTTTGAAAAACAAAGTGGTACAACTTTCAGCTGGACTGGGGCCTCTAGTGGCAGCTGACGGCAACATCCTCCCCACTAAAACTTCTCTTATTTGACTAAACTTTTACATGACTCCATTCATGAGGAGTTTGCGTATGATCGTTGAATTTTGTAATCAACTGAACTATCTTTCATAGCTTATACAGTGCGTATAGGCACAGCATCTTTGTGGGTGGAAAATACAATTTAATTTCTTCATAGCTCCACATTAATTCTCCAAATCTTTAATAGAAGCGTAGTGATTAACATAAGAAAATCGTTTCCAGTTGTCACATAAGCATCACAACACTTTCTAAATTCATCAGGTTAGAGTAAATATGTGACAGCAAATTACACTCTGCCTTTCTAACTGTAATTATTGTGCTGTTGAGAGGGCACAGGGGGCATTTTATTTTCTGTCTGATGATTGAATTCCTGCCTCTCTTCCTGCGCTGAGTTGTATTTTGGTGCGTGACCACAGGCTTTGTGGTTTTCCAAACCTCATGGGACCAATTCCCATTATTTACTTGACTGTGACCCCGTATCGTGACCCCTCAAGTCTCTCATTCTCCAGGAGCCTACTTTTAAATTGCCCATCTAATGGCAACCTGCATTTTTACTGAACTGTAATGAATGCTCCAATTACACTGAAGGTGATGGAGGCGATTTTCCTATGATAGAAGGGGTGATTTGATCTCCCACACTCCATTTCACTATCTCTCTGCTCTTCAGGCATTCCCACAGACCTGTGGTCAGCACTAGCTGTTGGGAGGAAACTAAGCCTCCACTTGTGGTAATGCACCCTCTGAGTGCACTGCCAAGCCGTGCACCAATGAGGTGACTACAGAATTAAGTGCTTGAAATAAATGAATTCATTCTGGCAGAAATGTGTCAAATGACCTTTCCGCTGCTCATTACACATGGTGCACATTACACCAGAGAAATGCTCCTGTTGTCTGGGCTCCTTTGTTTCCCCCCTCTTCTCTGCCTTGTCAAAGGGGAATGGTAATTAATTGAAATCATTTCCATGTGTAAGGTTGTGCAGACCCTCCTCAAGGTGTGTCAATGGGTCGATAGATATTTGGAGTGTATAGTGTAGTCAGGTGATAAGAACTCCAGTCATACTTTGCTAAATGACTGCCAAAGCCCCATAAAACCAATTCAAGGGCAGAGGAGTTTGAGGGCAGGAAGTAACAGAAAGAGGGGGGAAAGGCATTGTCCCCAGCGGACGATATTCTGACAGCAGTGACTGTGGTCACTATCCGCAGGAATTGAAATGTTTTGGATCATTCAAGGCTGGGCACATTTTTCATTTTCCACCCTTTTTTTCCATCTGATTAAAAGGTTGTTTGTCAGAACTGAATAGTCTCCTTGGAGGTGGTATCCTCCTGCTTGACTGAATGCAGGGCATTTCACCCAGCTCTGTGCACAAGAGAGGAGAGCTTATCCTAATGCAGAGGCTGCCTGTCTGCCTGCCAAGGAGAGATGTGGCTTTAAGAGGCCCATACATGGTGTTGATTAGTTTTACTGAGCGGGTATGCAGAGACCAATAAATTAAATATGAATAAATTAAAAATGTACTCTAGCAGAAAATTGCCATGAAAACAACCACCTCCCCATTAAAATATGTATAGTAATGCCTTTTATGTGAAGTAACTTGGGATTAGATATCACTGTAAATTAACACGCCATCCAACCGTAGTCAAGAACTTTTCACTTTTAACAAGGACTTATAAAAGAGGTATTTACTCCAGTGTGTTCAGTAATTAATTTGATATTCAAATGAGCTTACAGTATGTATTATAATTGCAAATATCCTAAATAAGAGTAGTTTTAAAAAGGGGTAGGGTCAACAAAGATTGATGAGGCTTGCTTTGAAATTGCCATCTGTTTCAAATGTTTACTTGAGGCGAGGTCCCCCCCCCACCCCACCCCCACCCTCTCTTCTTCTGTGGAAATAGAGGCATCATGGTTTTCTTCCTGCCATTCGGCCATATGTATCTGTTATTTTGTGGGGGGTGGGGGTGGGGGGGTGTTTGTGTCGTGATGCAGCAGCATACATGAACACACACACACACACACACACACACACACACACACACACACACACACAAACACACTTACACACACGCATCTCCACACACAACACAAACACTGAAGGGGATCAGGAACATCAGCATGTGTGATGAGCTCCCACAGATAACGTCTCCGCAACATTTCCATGACATTGTAGCTGTGTTACCTCATTACCACAATGTCACAGCAGCAGTGTGAGGATGTTGTGTTTGGGGTGAGGATGGAGGGAAGTGGGGGGGGGGTTCAGCTGCAGGTATTGGGCCTCTGCAGATGAGCTGATTAATTAAAGGGAGCTCTATTAAGGTTATTGAGAGGGACCCCCCCCCCCCCCC